GCACTAATGACAGCACATGAACATTTATAACCTACTAAACGAGCATCTTGAGCCTACATAATATTTTTTCTTCTCCTTATTCTGACTAAAATTACAGCAGCTGGTACTGTAGAATGTGTAGCTTAAATTACAAACTTTAAACAAAATAAAATGCACTAATACTTCTATTTTTGCACAGTCAGTCTTTGATTTGCATTAGATAAGCCTGAGGCAAGTCAACATCAACAGATGGAGCTTTTTGATCCCAGATTGATATTCTTGCCACTTTCTTAAAAGTGTTTTATATTTATAAGCATTTCCCCAGATATATTGATACTGTCTGCTTATTGTTTGTGACAGATCTCTAGCTAATAGTAGACTAATTACTCTATGTTCTTTAATCTGCAATGCACTGGAAAATGTCAACTTCAGGAGACGCACCAATTTTCAGGTACTTTTACAGAGTGTTTGCTTTGGTTGAACTGATATAAATTTGCACAATCCTTGCTTCAGTTAATCTATGACAGGAAAGACAGAGTAAATACAGGCAGCACATTCAGAATCTGACAGCCAGCGCATTGCTGCTACATGCTAAAGGGATAATCACTTGTGCTAACAAAGAAAGTTACACTGTCCTTTATTCTGACAGTGGCACTGGTATGATTTTTCCTACTGTAGGCTGTTTTGGATTTCATTTTGGACGAACTCTGGGCTAAAATGAAATGTTAGCATATTAGCATATTAGTTAGCATCATTATTATACAAGTGTGTACTTTCTATGTCAGGCTGCAAACAGTAATAGCACCACAGTGTCAACCATATCTTTCTTTTAATTGTCTCTGCATGTTAAGGTGGGATACAATAAAGTATTTTACAATGGAAAAAAAGAAGACTTCACCTTTAATAATCTAACATACTGTCAAGAGCGGACATGTGGCGTGACAAAACTAGATAGCGGCCGTATAATTAAGGGAGATGTCTACCGCACAAGTGCTTGATGCGTTGATGCGCCTTCACTGCAAAAGATGCCCCATTTCAGCCAGCTTGTCATGTTGTTGGCCTACTAATGTTTAACTTCTTTTACTTCTGATGCAGTATGTATATGTGATTATAAAATAGGCCATACGAAGTTAGCTCTCAGTCCATAGCAGTAGATTCTTGTTGAAAATGAAGTACAAAACAAAGACATGAAGCATTTTTAATAACCCAGGCTCATTGTAAAAAACGTGCATGTGGCGACATTTCTGAAAAATGACTTTACACCGTTTCTCGCACGTGTTGCGACATTTCCAAAGTTAAATTTCCAGTGAGTGCCACTAAAAGCATGTTCAGTTTTATACGAAACTGATGAAAGTGAATCTAGCAATGTTGTATCATGTCAGTTTGGGAATGAAATGAGTGGCGCTAAAAGGTTACTTTTCTATCGCATTTCAGTATAACACACCATCTACACTAAACCGACCCCAAACCTGACCGATAGTGTTAAACAAAAGCAAATGTGAGATAAAACACATTTGCTGAAGAAGCCAATGCCATTTTATCTTGATCTTTTATCGTAACTTGTACGTGAGTGCTTCGCATCGCAAGTTCAATGCTTTACCAGGTGCGCTACCGAGCAAGTTTACTACATCAAAAAAGCCACACATATGAAGCTAGTTATGAGATGCAAACATCAAAATGTACTAGTTTACAAATCATGCACTATGGTAAAAGTGTTTTGAGCTCATAACAGTATTGTGTAAGGAACCACAAGAAAATATGTCTTTATAAATATAGAATATTATGTGAAAAGTATTAAAAGTTGTTTGTCGTTTTACTGCCTCTATGGTTAATTTCAGCTGAATGAATTGCAGATATAGGTACTTTTGGGAGTTTTGCAAAATTATAGGTAAAGGCATGTTTTTCCAATGAGTCTAGGTTGTTTTTTTTAAATTATGCATTAAAAAAATAAATAAATAAATAGTGAAACAGAAATTGCTAGTTTTTTTCAGAAATTTCTAGTAAATTTTTGCAAATAATTACAAAGAAATGGCAAGTGACACATTAAGTTAAAGTAAAATCTTTCAGCAGAAAGACTGAAATTGCATTTTTTGTAAAACATACTCTGTTATTCTGTTATATCTGTTATCTATTTTTTCCACAGTGAGCAAGGGTTACGGCTGATTTGTCCGTTTATGTGAATATTCTACAACAACGTGCAACTTCCAGTGTCGAAGAAGATTGGTGTGACAGATTTCCTAGCGCTGCAAGAAATGAAGCACACAAACTATTCAGTGGATTCTGTCTTTGGGCAGGTGGGTGGTTTTTACACTTATTAATAATTTTTATAGTTTAAAAATTGAAAGTGTGTTCGTTTCGCTGTGTTCTCAGGATCTCTGCTGTGGCTGCTTGATTGGACCTCAGAAGAACCTTTTGGCACCATTCAGTCCCTGATCACCACGGTCACTTTGTTTCACCAGTCCAGACCTGTCGCTTCTTGTCACTGCTGACTTTGAGGACGGCATGTCGATGAATAACACAGTTTCTACAAGATGTCGAGGGATTTACCATATTTCTCTCTCCTTTTGTTCAGACTCTGAAAAGGCAGCTCTTCTTCTTTTCACAGTTTCTCTTAGAAAGTGAATGTGAATTCAGGTTCTGTCACAAACGCTGGTTTTGCATTGGTAGCAGTGCTGGGAAACTGGAAACTATTTACCAAGCTTCTTATAATTTAAAGTAGTTAAACCGCAGACAAGCTACTTTTTAGTAAAATCAGTAAGCTACACACCAAACCTTTACCACTTATAACTAAACATTTTACTTCAAACGAGAAAACAGGGGTTAAAATGAATTGTGAATCATTTGTTTGAACAGTTTGTTGTTTATTTGAAACAAATCAGTTGACTGAAATGAATTGACTTCACAATCCACAACATTTAAGAGATTGCATTTTGTTATAAAATGAGATGAAAAATACAGCAGTATAGTGTTGCATGCTGCACCACTGTTCATTGAAAAAAAAAAAAACTTATTTTAGTATTTAGTTATTCTAGTATTTATTTACGTTCAGCGATAGAGGAGGATGTGAAAGAGAGCGAGAAAGATGCAGGTAAGAGATTTTTACACTAGATTAGTGTCTGTGCTAGAATTAGATTCATAGCCTTCCCCAGATACAGAGGGTGGACCGGGGCTAGTTGTCACATGTCAATGGGCTGTACCTCAATAAATGTGAGGTAAACTCCACACCAGTCCAAAATCCAGTGTTGGTCATGTCACTAGTAGCACACGTACATCACGGAGATGTCTATTTTACATCTGCAAGACGTATTTTTTAGAGTGTTTGCTCATCTGCAATATGTTACATGCCCGCCATATTGAATTATATCGCAAACCCAGTTTTTTCTATCTTCTTCTGCTGTGTTTATCGAATCTTCACCAAATTTGGGTCAGATCACCTTCAGACCATGCCGGCCAAAAGCTGTGGAAATCTTTTTTAATAGTCCATTCCGTTCATCCATAATTCCACGATGAGAATGCTAACCAGGAACCGGGTTTGTGTCTTTGCAATGGTTACTTTGACAAATTACTTAAAATGTTTCCATCAGGTGGCGCTGCCATTAAATTGATTCTGGATTATTGTTGTTATGGCACATGTTAATGACACTTGCTGAATTCGGAACCGCATACTGGCATATAAGTAGGGTGACCATACGGGCCATTTTTAGGGACGCACCCTTGCCAGGATTTCTATATTGCCTAAAATATCCAGGTTTTGGCTGTTTGCACTGCAGATCGATCGTTGTATGACATTATTTCACGAGAGCTGTAGAGAGCAGAGCAGACTGCTCCTTATGCTTTCAAATCGCTCTCGCGGTACTTAAGTGTCATACAACGATCGGTGCGCAGCTTCAAGTCGAACGAACGAACAAACAAACAAACAAACATGTGCGCGTATTTGCATCGCTTTGATCGTTCTCACCCTCTCACGCGCGACACGCCACGATTGGTCGATTATGTACAATACCTGCATGTTATTGGTCAAACTACTTTGGATGTTTTAGGCAATATAAAGATCCTGGCCAGGACGGAACGAACATGTGCGCGTATTTGCATTGCTTTGATCGTTCTCACCCTCTCAAGCGCGATGCGCCACGATTGGTCAATTATGTACAATACCTGCATGTTATTGGTCAAACTACTTTGGATGTTTTAGGCAATATAAAGATCCTGGCCAGGACGTGTCCCATATAAGTGGCACATATGGCTACCCTACATACAAGTCTTACTACTTTTACCATATCTTCTATATAATGTAGTATACCTTCATATCAATATTACAGTATCAATTTAGTAACAGCGGCTCGTAATGGTCAAAAGTTCAGTAAGCAACTGTATGATTTTTTTTTTTTTAAATGCGATTACCAATTAAATTTACTTGTATCTTGCGCTGTCGCATTTGACACCATGCACACACAAAAGAAAAAAAAATCGAGAACTGAAAAAAAAAAATTGAAGTAGAAAGACTAAATAAAACGTACACCTAATCTTATTTACAACTGCGAAAAATAATTGCTGCTTACTTCTATTAGAATCGGTGTGTAGCATGATTAGTGTATACGACTGTTCATGTTTGTATTCATTATTTTTTGTGACATCAGTTAAAAAAATGCAAAGTCGACAGAATCAGAAGAGCTTTATTGATGTTTTTTTTTTTCTTCTGGTTTACAGCACTTACTGTACTAATGAGCAAGAAGATGCAATATAAACATCTTGACAGGAAACAGAAGGTATGTGCAAACGACGATAAAGGATATGAATGAGGTCCATTTTATGCAAGAAAGGCAAATTAAACATTTCTTTCATAATGCATACGTAGAGGGTTAACACAAGTGTGCAAGCAGCAGTATGTGAACTCTCAGCCCTGCTCTTATTCAGTCAGTTCTGTTCATCGCCGCATGAGGCTGCGCGCCGCTGTCAGACGCGCGCGCCGGAGACAGAAGAGACTCTCATCACGCGCGGAGGGGAGAGCAGAGCAGGCATCGCATCGCACCGCGTCTGTCCCCAGCGCTCACACCGCGCCGCATTGAGGATCGTACCCTTATAGAGGAGCAGCACGAATTACGCGCAACACAGTGCGTAAAATCCACAGCCGAGGCTTCAGTGTGACTGCGCTTCAGGTAAAGCTCCTCTCTATAAACTTATGCTTTTACAGAGACTTATAGCCACTGCATGTGTCCAACTCTCAGATTCTTATGTAGAACATCTATTGAGATGTGTAATACGGCTGGAGATGTGTCTGTAAGGCAGATACTATGGCATATAGAAGGGCTACGCGCAACTTGTTGCCGGTAGTTTGCGTCTGAATCAATAAGCCGTTTCATCTTTAATGCATCTTTTGTTTTCAGATATTATCGATACGTGTATTTACCTGAACGAAAAGTTGAAAAGAGTGGCCTAGATATTCTATAGACACCGGCTGATGTGTTATTGAGATGGTCATCTATTGTTCAGGTTCAAAATCCGCTGATATAGACCGAAATGATTGATTATGGCAGTGATTTATTGGATTAGTTTGGCAGATCATTCAAAACATGGTGTCTGTGTCAACTTGCTGGTATTTTCCAACTGTATATACAAATGCACTATATATATATATATATAGGGTGAATACAGGTGGAACCCTTTTATGTCCAATAATATCGTACTATGTTATGATCTATCGTTTTAGTGACGGAAGAATAGGCTACACACATAATGATAAAGATGATTAAGCTTGTCCCATTTAACCTGTATATGCACTCTCTGTATCTGAAATAGAGTTTCTCTGTTTCTTTTCATTGATGATGCATATTTTACAGTGACCATGGGTTGTGTTTTTTTCACCACTGTAACTCATCTTGGCAATATTTTAGTATCACGCCAGTACTGAAACTTGAACAGTGTGTTGTAGGATTATCAAGGGAACTTCAGTCTTGATGTGCTTGAGTGAACGGAGGCTTGGCTCCTTTGAGTGTTACTGAGGTGTCACCTATTGATCGGTTGACATTTATTGACAACAACAGACACAATATTCTCTTTAAATTTCCCATGGATCACATGGAAGTATAGGCTAATGGTGTGTTCAAATCATCTCGGAAAGATTGAATTTAAGAGTTGGTCGCACGTGAACTTCCCCACAAAGTAGTAATTAGGTGTGGGGACCTCCACACCAGTCCAAAATCCAGTGTTGGTCATGTCACTAGTAGCACATGTACATCACGGAGATGTCTATTTTACATCTGCAAGACGTATTTTTTAGTGTTTGCTCATCTGCAATATGCTACACGCATAATGATAAAGATGATTAAGCTTGTCCCATTTAACCTGTATATACACTCTCTGTATCTGAAATAGAGTTTCTCTGTTTCTTTTCATTGATGATGCATATTTTACAGTGACCATGGGTTGTGTTTTTTTCACCACTGTAACTCATCTTGGCAATATTTTAGTATCACGCCAGTACTGAAACTTGAACAGTGTGTTGTAGGATTATCAAGGGAACTTCAGTCTTGATGTGCTTGAGTGAACGGAGGCTTGGCTCCTTTGAGTGTTACTGAGGTGTCACCTATTGATCGGAATTTAAATCTGCTCATTTAGATTGGAAATTATTGATTATTGGTGGGATTTATTGGTTTGGTAGATCATTTTGAGTATTGTCAATAACATTTTGCCTAAAAGGGCTACAAATCTCAACCAGCATGATGTGCATATTCTGAAAAATAACATTTCTGTATTTCTTAGTATTGACTAGGGCATATATTATAGGCTTGTGTAACATTATTTAGAATCACTTCAATATTTAAACAAGGAATGATTTCTGTAATATTCAAGTGATGATCTCATGTGTTTGACTCAATGGAAGTTGATTCCTTTGTGCGTTAGAGGAATCCTGATGTTTAGAAACCCTCCAAAATGACATTTCGGCACTTTATTATCACCAAAACAGTAAGTTGATTTAGTACAGCCTTTGATTAGCTGAATTTCGTCATGCTTTGGTTGTTTTTGTAGATAATTGAGTATTTAATGAATATCACAATGAGAACACCCCCTTCTATTTATATTTAGTCAGTAATGAACTTCCTATTTCTGGTTAATTCATGCATGTGTGCGTATGTGCATTAGACATCTAATGCATAGACTTACTGATGCATGTAATGGTTAATTATGTTAATTTTGGCTCTTTAGTGATTGGCCACATCATGACTACATGCTACATGTGCTTGCAAAGTGGATAATCTTTTTTCAATAAGTAAAATATGGCACTGTTAGTTGCAGACTATGTTTGCATCCATGATTCCTGCATTTGATTTTGCATGCATTTGGATTGCTTAATAACTACATTCCCCAATGCATGTTTACACATTTTCTTTATCTTGTAGTTTCCAGTAAGAGCAAGGCAGCTTTGACCATGTGGTGCTTATCCACATCGATAAGTCGACATCTCTAAAGGTTTGACTCCTGAGCGAGCACATGGCTTTCATGTCTTCTACGTGTGTGGGAAAAACTCAGTGTAGCAAGGGAGGCACTGTGTGAAAGTTGACAGCGTGTCCTCTCTCGTTCACGAACCGGTGGCTGTTTGCCCCTCGTTGTGTGCCGACATGATCTCAGTTTAATCCTCAAGCGTCTCGGCTCTGTTCTCGCTGATTGTTGTCATTTACCCAGCTCCCCATTGGGCCCCTTGGAGCCCGTGTTGGAACTCGATATCCAATCAGTGATTTAGATTATCCAATTAAGCGACTGATGTATGTCCAGAGATGCCTTAAAGCATCACACCCTTCGGATTATCCGCCGCTAATGAAACCTGAGTTGCGTCAGCACATTCCAGCTTGCATGTAATTATCACATAAATTTTTAATGCAGCCCACAATTATAAACAGAGCAATGTTAATTATCGGCTGCTTTCACCTTTCACTCTGTGGCTATATATGAGTGTCATTGCATTCCTATGCATTTGCTGAGTGCTATTGACAGCTGTGTTGATATACGATCTCATGCACCGCCGTGCCGCCCATAATGCGACTGCAGAGGCCTGTCAGCAGTGCTTTTCCATACAAGCACATACATGCTGCGAACTCACATAAACGAATGTGTTATAGATTCGTCATGATTTATGTCTCGCGACTGGCTGCGTCGCCTTCGGGTCCTCAGACTCAGGGCCCAGACACGCGGCCCTCTTTGATAGATCGTGTGGAAGAAGCGATGTGCCACAGACAACATTGATTACCTTTTACTGAGTCTGAGTATAAACCTTAGCGCAGCGGGACTGCGAGGGTGGGGGAGGTTGATGTATGTTGCCTGAGGGGCGGTAGAGATGACAGATATGGGTTACAAATGAGAGAGGTTTTATGACTCCTGGAAGGAGGACCATCAGGCCCGTTTAATTGATCTCGGTCTGGCGGTGGAGTTCAGGGAGAGCCGCTGCAGTTTTGCACCTGCTTTAGGTGCCTCTGCCGCAGACCTTTGCTTAAATTATCTGCTGTGTTACGATCCCACACCTGCTCCGAGATCCGGCTCATGCCAAAGGAATGCGACCCCCCGTGTTTCCGGCCTCGCTGTCTTCCTGACTGTGTGGGCTTTTCACCCAGTTGCCCGTGAAACAACGGCTGCTTTCTCACTGTTGTTGTGAAGTAGAGTGGGCGATATGTATGTGATGAAGTCTCGCAGCAGAACTGAATAGTTTGGTTAACATTTAGCACTGATAACAGCTTCGTCTTTTCATAAAGTTAAATATATTAAGTCTTAATTAAATCTTTATATATCTACCGTTAGTTTTTTTGAAAGTCAACATGGCATTTGCATCCAGTGCAAACGTATTTCCATTGTAGGGGCGCTTTGGCCACCTTGACAGAATCAGAAAATGTCTGAGATCACATTAAAAAGCTGGGATTTGGTTTTTCATTTAAAACTGGAAACATGCTAAGTTTTATGATCCTGAAGAAATAAACAAATTTATATTACATAGAGATTTTTTTTTTTTTTTTTTTTTTACATGCGCACATTGCACAAATATAGAGTTTCTCACTCAAAGCATGTTGGAGATCATCTGGGTTTGTTCATCCCAGCCATAAGAAAAAATGGAACTTATGGAATACTAAAATATTATACTTTCTATGCAAATTATTAATAATATATAAATAAAATTGTAAATAATTTTGTTCTAATTTGATGTAAAATAAAAACTTAATTTTGCAAAAACTTAGAAAAATAAAAATAAAAGCAAATTCAGTTTCACTTGATATCAGACTTTTACACTTTTCACTTGATTCACTGTACTTTATACACACACATACACACATATATGTGCACAAACTACTGTTTTGTCAAGATAACAAAAGCAAGAAAGAATATGGACTTTCATATGTGCTGTTATGTATTTACATGCTTCTGACTACATAGTTAAAAAAATTAAAATAAATGGACATTTTGTTGAAACTACTCATTCGTTTAGCTCTATTTCAAGATCTTTTGTTTTTTTTCCTCATGCATTTTTTTTTAGTCTGCCTTCTTGGCAGATTTTTTATTTTTTATTTTTTAGTCTGAATGGGAACTACATCAGAAGTGTGTAGTTTAGAGGCACCACTGGACTCATTTTTATCCTTTAATGTGACGCAATTTAGAATATTTCAGAATATTTTATGAGAAAACTGGCTAGATTTGATTTTACACATTGATGGGATCAATAAAAGTTGCAAATGCACATGAGAATGTAGCGAGACCTGAATGTTTGCTAATGCAATGGCTCATTTTCTATTTGGCTATTTGTTTACATTATAATAGCTTTAGATGCATGAGCGTGTTTTGCACAGACAGCACATGCATCAGAATGGCTGGATTAACACACAGGAATGTTGATTTGAACAGAATATTTGCTTTTAAACATAATTTTTCATTCAATTCACTCTCAATATGTTATCCACAAAGCTTTATACCTTTGAAATAAAGAAGGTATTATTAGAATGAACGCAGTGTTTTACCTTGTACCAGATTTGCCTCTGTCATTATTCCCTGTGCCGTCAGTAGTGAAGCGTGCATACAGCAGTGGAATGAAATGAAAAGCTGTGTGTTTTTTCAGGTAACCGTAATTACATGCAGGTCAAGTGGCTTTTTCAAATGCGTTTTTTTTTGGAGCGCCACAACA